TAACAAGTGATAAAGGGGAAATAATCACTCTCTTAATATAAATATGTATATATCTACAATTTAATTTTAAATGTCAAAACAAAGAAATAATTACTTTAGAATATAATGAAATTGTTTAACACTATTCGTGTTTACAAAATGTTTTTGTCTATCATCAGAGTTTAATATATCGTCATCATAAATGCTAAAGTATTACAGCATAATGAACGTTTTTAAAATCAGAGTTGGCATTAAAGCACGCTTTTCAATATTATAGAAAAACATTTAACTAAATATTGGTCTTTTAGTTCAGATCATATATTTTAATTAACTACTGCTTCTTTGTGTTCTTTAAAGATCATTTTTTAACATAGTGATAGGTATGGGTTAGATCACTGTATTGCTCACACACCTTTTTACAGGTAATTGCAAAAACAATATTCACAGAGTTTTACTTTTAAAATGCTAATGTTCTGGCGGCATGGTACTTTGGTACATCATTACGCGTTTTTCTACATGTACTTAACAGATAAGTTCGGGGTGGGTGGGGGGGGGGGAGGGTGGGTGGGTGGGTTCAACTTCATTCACCACTGTCCGTTCCAGTGTTTCTTCCAGACTTTTTTCTCTGGGGGGGCACTTGAAATCTTCGGGGGGGGGCGGTAAACTTGCTTCGGGGGGGGGGGGGCGGACACTGTTAAAAGTATATATTTTCTATATAAATTATATACATTTCATTTCGTTCGGGGGGGGCGGTAAAAATTTTTCGGGGGGGCTAAGCCCCCCCTCCCCCCCCCCCCCCCCCCCCCCGAAGAGATGCCTGGAAGAAACTCTGGTCCGTTCACTTTAGGTCAATTATCCAACCCAGTGTATACCTAGGTGTGACATTGATGTCGCTCTACACAATTGTGGTGGATAGGTGTGGGGGGGGGGGGGGAGAGATAACCAACTCAGAGTGAACAAAGCGTCAGTTTTTAGATGACTGTTCTAAAAATACATATATATTACACAAATATAATTATATTACACAAATATATATTACAGAAATAGATTTAAATAAGTAGCAGTGGTATTATGACAATATGCGGAAGAGGGGGGGGGGGGTTGTAACTGTTTCATATAATTTGTAATCGTAATCACTATCGCCCAAACTGTAAGAATACTACTACTTCATCGTGATGACGTTGTTGACCTTGTCAAAATGTCCCCACCACTACGCAGTTTGCTCATAAGTAAATTTAAATAGAGGTGCCACATCAGTTGTATTTGTTTCTGTATTGTAATTTTTTTTTAAATTAATCACACTATTCAAACTGTATATACAAAGTAATTATGTGTGAAGTTTTCTGTATAACATTTTCTAATTCAATTATTCGTAAGCAAATACATTATACAGTTGCCTTAAACTTAACACCCCTTTTGCCAAGTGGTACTACCGTAGAGGTTTTTTAAACATTGCAATGCATCGTAATGGTTATTTTTAGAATGGCAAAGCTGTTAATACGTGTTGTAAACGTAGACACTACTAGACTAGTACAATAATGCTTAGTTGCTGCATGAAAAGAAATCTTGTGATTTACACTGATGTGCTGACCAAAAATATTTTTTAACAAATAACATTGTTTAAAACTTTGAGTTTAAAAAGTTTCCAAAAAGGCGCCACTTTGCTAAAAATGGCCAGAGGGGGAGCGGCAGCTCCCCCTGCTCCCCCCTGCGTACGCTACTGGTCGTTACTAATCATTCACGTGTTGGTCAGTATACCTTGACAGAATATTAAATGCTTAGCTAATGTGTTAGATTATATAAATCCTGACATTTTCCAATCCATCTTAACTTGCATGAAAGTAAAACGATACTTTATATATGTTGCCCCTAGCTTCCAACTTAACTTGTATGAAAGTAAAACGATACTTTGTATACTATGTTGCCCCTAGCTTTCAGCTTAACTTGTATGAAAGTAAAACGATACTTTGTATACTATGTTGCCCCTAGCTTCCAACTTAACTTGGATGAAAGTAAAACGATACTTTATATACTATGTTGCCCCTAGCTTCCAACTTAACTTGCATGAAAGTAAAACGATACTTTGCATACTATGTTGCCCCTAGCTTCCAACTTAACTTGTATGAAAGCACCAACGACCCGGAGGAGTCAAAGAGACATGTTGTCTTCTTGTACAGAAAAGATGGGACATGCTATTTGTCGTGTTCTAACGTAAATAGAGAATGCCCCATGACCTTTCTAGACATCAGAGATAGCATCTTCGCCCCCTTTACATTTTCTTACGAAGTTTCAGGATCAGTTGTCAAGGTAAGAAATCACCTCATGTAAAGGTGTGTTTACATTAGTGCAAGAGGCGGATAGTAAAGACCTAACCGTCATACGTACTACCAGAATGATAGACTTTTTTTTCACGTGCGGCTTTCAATGCTTCTATTACTGTCTAACAGAGGCGTAGAGAGGCCGTGGGGTGAGTGCGGACGGCACCGGGTGACACCATATATAGGGGATGACGCCATGGCAAAAAACTGCATTGTCAATTGCAATAATGATAAATTATGCGGCATATATTTAAATTATACGCCGATGTAGGCCGACACACACACATACACACACACACACACACACACACACACACACACACACATATATATATATATATATATATATATATATATATATATATATATATATATATATATATATATATATATATATATATATACTTTGTTTCTTGGGGGGGGGGGTAAAACCACGTAGTGCGCACCTGGTGACACCCAACCTAGCGACGCCACTGCTGTCCAAATTGATCTAGGCCTCTATGAAAAATCCAACTTCCCCAAAGTTGTAAAAAAAAATTATCCCCCATTCTCTACGACCTCGGCGAGATGATGAAAATTAACTGTTCTAATCTAGTACCTTCTAATCGATATTTCCTTCCGTTCTTCTTAGTGTATGTATTATTATCTATCCCAACTTACATAGGATGAGGCGGGATTTCGACGGGGGGGGGGGGGATTGTGTATTTCGTAGGGGAAAAAAGAAATAATAAGTTTTATGATTCTAGTTATTTTAAAAGTAAGAATGGTAGTTTTGTGATAATGGTGGGTGATATGATTGTTGACTAACTTTACATGGCATTACAAATGCAAGTTCTCTACTATTATTTTTAGCGCAATTTCCATTCTGGAGAATTGCGTTTATTAACTCGTCATTTCTGGGAATGGATGGATGAATGTATGGATGTGTGTCCGCAGCTTTAAGTCGTATCTCCTCCTCAACGAAGCAATATCGATGACTAGTTACAAAAACAATTATGTTAAGCAAGTTACGAGGATGAACATAGGCCATAAAAATTCCGGGTTTCTTTCATGGATTTCCCGGAAAAGCCAAAAAACCTCGGAAAAATGCAGTTTTTGGCCCATATCTCGGCAACCAGACCACTTAGCGACTTGAAACATGCACCAATCGATTCCTGCTATAATTTAGAACAATATTGCCGAAGAAAGTTTTCAAAAATATCCTTTTGTTTGGTCACAAAAATTTGTTTGAATTAATTAAAATTTGGACCGAATTAGTAGGCATTTTATGCAACCACACCACACGCGTCATCACGTTTTATAGCTGCGCCATCACGTTCAATATCTGCGACATCACGCTCGGTAGCTAGGCGCGCAATGGTTTTTAGTCATGTTACTCTATTGTAAATAAAACATGTAAAATACTGAAAAAAAAATAATAAAAAACGTTTTAATAACTAACCAATGGTTTTACTAACCCTGCTGTTGATTTACGCTACGACAGAGCTATTTTTAGATAACGTAAGGAAATTGCGCTAAAATTGTCACTAGACTTTTTTTAATTACTTGTTTTTTTAAATTTACAGGCCTACTTCAACCGTGAATACAAGGGGGAGGTAGCTGTGAGCAGTGGTGCACAACTGGATGTAATGTACTTTAACGGGAGGTTTTCTGGCCACACTGTTGAGTTCGTCCCTTCTTTGTGAGTTTAAAATGCAGTTGGGCACCCTCGCTATAAACGGACAAAGCCTGTAGCACAAAACTTAATTTGAAAAATTGAATCCTGCCCCCAATAAAAAAAAAATTACTTATGAGGGGGGAGACTTGGAGTTCTCTTTCCAAAAATATATTTTTATTTATATAATTTTGTATATTATCCTATATCAAACACGTCCCATTGAAGCGAGTTTGAGTAGCGGTGCTACAGTTTAAAATTCCCAAGAAATACGACTGCTACTCAGTGGACTGCTGCGGTCTTTATCCATCTTTGTATACAGTGTAAGGATTCACGTCAGCAGTGTTTCTTCCAGAATTTTTTCTCCGTGGGGGGGGGGGGGCACTTGAAATTTTTTTTTGGGGGCGGTAGAATTTCTTTGGGGAGACGGACACTGTTAAAAGTATATATTTTCTTTATAAATTATATCAATTTCATTTCGTTGGGGGGGGGGGGGGGGTAGAAGAAACTCTGCACGTCAACAATCATTGACAGACTGCTTGAGTTTACCTTAAGTATGCTCTCAATATTATTATAAAATTGTATAACAAGCTGATGGGGTGATGTTTTATTTTTTTTTTTTTTTTTTTATTTTTTTTTTTGTTTGTTTGTTGGGATTTATTATTTTCTTTTAATTGGATTAATGTTTTTTTTTTCTTTTTTTATTTAATTCGTCTTTATTTTCATTTACTTATTTATTTTGCGTTATTTGGGTTATTTTATTTTTAAGGCTAAAGCTACGTTTAAAAATACCTTAGGATTTACATGTATGTATAGGTGTATTTTTAAAATCTGTTTCAAAATTGATTTTTATTTTTTTCTGTGAAATCTTAATAAACAAATTGAATTAACTGTAAATGTTTTTTCTTTTTATAAAAATCAATCGAATTTTTTCTTAACTGGTTTGTTTAAAAATAGCCATGCCCAAATAGTATGCCAAGGTCAAGTCCAAAATGTTCGTTACTCAAAGTTGTGTTGCATGCGTCTCCTGACTGTCCTGACTACTGGTAGGTCATAGTCTTTGTTGCGCTCCCATCTTGAGAATAAAGACATGTCTACGTTTTTTTGGAATGGCCAAGATTTAGTATTTTTCTTAATGCAAGGTTACTATTTCGTATGTATGAGGTGTGTGTGTGGGGCGTGGGTAACTAGCTTGCCTATACCTTTCCAAATCCCTAAACCCCCCCCTCCCAGTTGTACCGAGAGGAAGTACTGTAACGGGCGGTGATCCAAAGTGCCAACCGGGGTGACTCGATTACAGGATTATAGAGAAACCTACTGGTAACAATTCTGATAGATTACATTTTCAAGTTTTAAAATACTTTTGTTTTCACAAGCTTTTATTTAACTCACTTCCTCTGTCGTCAGTCGTCAGTCGACAGTCTGTCTAGATCGAAACGCAGGAGTGAAAATTCGGACACTTCTACTTGACCGATACGATTCACATTTGACACGTGGGTCAAGACATGAAGACAATGCAATCTGAAATAAAAAAATAAAAAAAAAATAAAAAGTAGAAAATAAATTATACACTACTATTTAAATTACTATAAAGAAAAGCGTGGGTCTCTTCTCAAATATTAGTAAAGGTATCCAATAGGTACTAAAGTACTAAAGTGACCCACGCTTTTCTTTATAGTAATTTAAATAGTAGTGTATAATTTATTTTCTACTTTTTAGTGCATCATTACATAAAAGCTTGTTATTAAAACGTTTTTTATGAATTTTTACATTTTTCTTTCTGAAAATCGCTTTTTGAAAATAGAAATTTGTGCAACAATACACCATTTTAACTGTAGAAGAAAAACCATACAAATTTTCAAAAGTTGATTTATCAGTTTTGTTGGTAATTGTACACAGAATAACTTGAGATTTTTTTTTTTTCATTCGGGGGGTAGGGGGTGGGCAGAGGCGTAGCGACCCTTCCCGGCGCCCTGGGACAAACTTTCAATTTGGCGCCCCCCTCGGGAGCAAATTTTCTATTTGAACCCCCCCCCCCCCCCCCCCCCCCCCTCAAACTTTCGATTTGCAACCCCCCCCCCCCCCAATATTTATAATGCAAAAATGCAGCTAAAATGACATTTTAATTTGTTTTTACAACCCATTTTTGGCGCCCTCTAAGGTCGGCGCCCGGGAACATATGTACCCCCCCTGGCCCCCCCCCCCCCCCCATCGCTACGCCTCTGGGCGGATGTGCTACCGTGGGGATAGGCAATACCGTCTCATCAGAGATGGCTGAAAGAAATATTTCTAATGTTCTTTTAAAATTTAAAAACTATTGGTCTGAATTAAGATTTTAAACATTTAAATGTAGAATGTCCCTAAGTTCACATCTTATAGGTACCTGTTAAGGAAAATAAAGGCGGTTGGGCATAGTGCTGACCACACTATCCCTTCATATGCCGAGGTCACTGAAACAGATGAACTCTGCTTCATCTGCCTCATGTGTCGTAGATACGAGCGAGAAACGATGATTATGAAATGTAGAATAAAACATTACATAGATCTTTTTTTTAATCTTAATCAAAGAGGGGAATCAATTGTAAGAATTTTTTTTTAAAAATGAATTAATTTTTTTACAAAGAACATAACTTATCCATTACTGACACAAAGCAATGCCCAGTAATAGCCGTACAGTGGTGCACTGTACATGTGCGTGTGTGTGTGTGTATGTCAATGTGCGCCTATGAGTGCGGGCGCATCTTTATGTGTAAAGGGGTGGGAGGGTAAGGTTGAGTGAGGTGGATTGAGGTGACACCGAGTCAAAAAACAGCCAATTTTACACAAACTACTTTACTTAGATATTTTAAAAACATTATTGTAGACACTTGGTCGATATCTTACAAAGCATAAGAAGTTTATCAAGTGCCGACTTAAATGCTTAAGTACAAATTTGCTTGTGCATTACAAACGTTTTTTTTAATTTAGTACTCTAACACAGCATCCTGTTTGATTAAATCAGATGCTACCGTGATTTTTTGAAGACAGCTTACATCCATCTAATAACAGGTCATGTTTAGACAAACCTGTATGTAATTACTTGTCCAAACAAACATGTAGTTAAACAAAGAGAATTAACTCATCGATCTTACATCAATCTGTAAAACACATGTTTAGTATGAGCTGTCGTGATAGTCTGAAACCTAATTGAATGAGTAGCTGCCACGTAAGCGCAACGTAGGATATATAAGAGATAATTAATTTTAGTGTTGTTCTATAAGCCAAGCTGGGGGGCAGTTTGCTGTGATCGACGATAGAACAACGGTAAGAACGCCTTTTTTTTTTTGTTTAAATAACCCCATATATATATATATATATATATATATATATATATATATATATATATATATATATATATATATATATATATATATAGTTACGATCCCTGAGATCTTTACCTGGCTTAGCAATATCGAAAGGGAAACAACCAGACCCCTAGATTGCCGGATAGGCAAATAAATGAAATGCTGAAGCTTGCTCGTAGACTGACCATACATAATCGGGGAGGGCTAGAGTGTTGTTTTGAGGTTCACGGCTCGGGAACATTCCTGAAGGTCACGCCCACCCTTGTGGTCAGACCTGGTCGTGATGAGACGACACGGACTTGTGCAGGTGCTCAGAGAGTGGCTGTTGCGGTCAGCCCAGGCTGGAATTTATGGCTGGAATATTCCTGGCCGGTGATGAGTTAATTAAGTCGAACACCTGACAGGGCGGGAGTTCCCACGGTGGGCGATGTGATGTCAGGTATATCAGGGGAGTAGGAACAGACAGCTGGATACAGTGCCGAGAGAGTCAGCAGACAAACAGGAACGTAACTTGTGAACTGGTGGAGCCCACGGAACGTCTGTAGACCTAGACTAGAATTGACCGTTAGGGACAAGCAGGGTCGTCAGAGTGAGAACTTTATATTTCAGCTGTAGGCTAGATCAGGGGTTCCCAACCCCGTGCCCGCGGGCGCCATGGCGCCCGCCGAACGATTTGTATGTGCCCGCCTCTCACTATTCGACAGAGAGAATTTTTTTCATAAACATTATTTAAAGGTTGAAGGGGATGGAAACAGGGGCGGAACTACAGTGCCGCCAGACCCCGCAATGCGGGGGGGCCCACGCCATTTAGGGGCCCACGGCCGACCATAAAAAAAAATTGTTATAGTTAAAAAAATGTTCTTGCATTTTTGACTTAATGTTTGTTTTGTAAAAAAGATTACCGTAGCTGCGGTTGGATTATCTTTATTCTATAGACACCACCCCACGCTCATTTTTCCTTCGTCTTTGAACCACTGTGAAAACCGAGTCCTCTTTCTCCTACAATGAAACTTATCAAAGATAAGCAAACGCTCAAACCACTTCCATGACTTATTTCCCTTTTTTAAATAGTCAAATAGTGATGCTCATAAGCCTCTTTTTAATAGATTTGTATTAAACAAATTAAAAAGAAATTACTTCTCTTTATTATTATTTGTTTATAAATTACTTACTAAAGAATGACACTGTATACAAAGAAAATGTATTTAAAATTAATAAAATAAATACAAAAAAACATAAAAATAAACATGACACGAGAAACCATTATTTACAGAAAGATTTCGGGTTTTATATTCTTTTGACCGACATGTGACTAACGGTCTTACAGCAGAAATAATATAAAACTGATTTTCACAAAACTGACTAATGCACTTACACTCATGACATGATGTTGTAATTTGTTCAAAAAAAAAGACCCACGTATTTCTCATAACACGAACAGGCCAGCATGAATAAGTATCCTATGTTCGTATGTTGTGTTTGACTATATATATATATATATATATATATATATATATATATATATATATATATATATATATATATAGGCCTATATATTTATATGGAGGGGGGGGGGGGCTAAAAAAATTTTTTGCGGGGTGGCCCCTTTTTTCTAGTTCCGCCACTGGATGGAAATCGAAAGTTTAAGGGGGGGGGGGGGGGGGTGTGCAAATCGAAAAATTGAGAGGGGGGGTGCAAATCGAAAGTTTGAGGGGGGGGGGGGTGCAAATTGAAAGTTTTGTCCCCGGGTGACGGAAAGGGTCGCTACGCCTCTGGAAGGAGTTTGTCGATTTAAAATAGGTGGTGCCCGCCACCCTACCGATATTTTAGAATGTGCTCTAGAGTATAAAAAGGTTGGGAACCCCTGGGCTAGATCATTGTATTTTTCTGATAGTATTCCATGTGGTGGCAGGTTAATGTTGATTGTTGTATTTTTTTTTATGGCTTTAAAGCACGGGTTCCAAAACTGGGGGTCGCGCCCCCTTGGGGGTCGCAAAGGGCTTTCTGTGGGGTCGCCAACTGGTATACTAAACCTTAGCAATGAGAAACAAAACATTAATATTTCGAAGAATATCTAATATTCGGCTTTACTAAGATAAGGAGCTCTTTCATCCGCGTGAAGCTTATTGCAAACGTCAGAGATTTGATTGAACAGGAAGTTTTCACCAGGAAACACAGCATTATTGCAAGTATCAAATAGATAGAAAAACGCCAAGCCAAAAAAACAACACAAAAAACAGCACAACAGGAAAAAATCTCATCAAACCCTGCATGTTGAAGATGGTGAAGTTACTTTTTGGGGACTCCAGTGCAGTAAAGATGCAATAAATATCTCAGCCTAATAATACTATTCAGCGGCTTATAGCAGACATGTCCGTAGATGTTAAATACCACATTTTTAATGAAATCAAGCTTTCACCATTGTTTGCTTTTCAAGTTGATAAATCAACAGACGTGAGTTGGATATTCGCGGTTGCTTGTCTTTTTCTATATTCATTCAGATGATAGCAAAGAAGAGTTGCTATTTTGTAAAGATAGCATGGAGAAAAAAAAATACGTTTTTTTTAAACGAGATGAATAAAATGGGTTACAACGGCTGTGGGGGTTTGTTCGGATGGTTCGACATCTATGTTTAGGTCAAAATCGGGCTTTCAGAAAACAGAAAATATTTAGCTCCCTAAACACTGCATGATTCACCAGTATGCCATCGATATAAAGACGCTTCCGACTCCATTGTTAGTAAAAGTCGTAAATTAAATTTCATCCGGAGCCTTAAAAAAACTGAGCAACGACATTAATATAAATCACGAGGGTCTGCTTTTCTACACTACAGTACGCTGGCTGTCAAACGAAATGTTGTGAATCGTGTTTTTGAATTGAAATCTGAAATCAAATTGTTCTTGGAAGTGCAAAAGAAAACAAGACCTTTTGGTATACTTAAAATAACATAGAGTAGTTGGAGAGAGTATCATACCTAGCTGATATATTCGAACATCAACATACGCCTAACCTGAAGCCAATGTTTCTTCCAGACTTTTTTCTCCGGGTGGGGGGGGGGGGGGCACTTGAAATTTTCGGGGGGGGGGGGGGGGGGGGCAGTAGAAACTCGGCCTGAAGCTTCAAGGAAAATGAACGAATATTATCACTTTCCAAAATAATCTCAGGGCATTTTTATCAAAGCTGCAAAAGGCAAAGAAAATAAATCTTGGAAATATTGAAAATTTGAGAAACTCTGCAGTGTGGTAGCCAGGTAGATGAATCTGATTTTGATATAATTAAAATTTTGAAAGAAGCGATTTCTGAGCATCTTGAATCTCTTGAAAACGAACTGCGGCACTATTTCACTGAGCTGAAAGGAGAACCTGCATTGATGCATTACCCATTGTCTACTTCCCTTGATGTTGCCAGCATTCACGATGAATTACAAAATGAATTCTTCGATTTGCAGAATGATTCCGCGTAAGATGAAAAACTGCAGGCACAATTTTGGTGTAGCATTCACCATTCATACCCAAACGTAAAATAGATTTTCAACACTATTCTCCGATTAAAAACATGATTCTGCGTAAGATGAAAAACTGCAGGCACAATTTTGGTGTAGCATTCACCATTCATACCCAAACGTAAAATAGATTTTCAACACTATTCTCCGATTAAAAACAAAATTAAGAAATAAACTGAATGTTGATAATGACAGGTTTGCGTTAACAAAAACTTAACAGCGAATGTTTAGTAAATAGCATGCAATTTTACTCATCGTAATAAAACAGTTATCAAGAGTAGTTCATATTGAAAGTCTCCTAGAAAATCTTATTTTATTGCTTATTAATTTCCATACTAATATCGGCTTTTTAATTCTATGAAGGTCGCGGGTCACTTACTTTTTATAAAAGGGGGTCACCACTCAAAAAAGTTTGGGAACCACTGCTTTAAAGAGTAGAAATAGTTGTTAATTGTGTTAAATCATTATTAGTCCTTGTTCTTGTTTACGAATACCCCAACTAGCTCGAAAAGACAAGGGAACGGGGACGTAACAATATATATATATATGTATATATATATATATATATATATATATATATATATATATATATATATATATATATATATATATATATATATATTATATATACATATATATATACATATATATATATATATATATAATATATATTATATATATTATATATACATATATATATACATATATATATATATATATATATATATATATATATATATATATATATATATATATATATATATATATATATATGTTGTTGTACGAGATCAAAAGAAAGATAAAAGCTGTCAAATATGTGCACCTACAAGAACGTCATAAATGTTTTATGATGGTTTGCCCCATTTTAAATACTTTTACCCATGTTAAGGTTTTCTAATGTGACTTTTTAAAAGACATTCAACCAGTGTGCCAGTCAACGAAAACGTTGATTGCACAAGCCTTATTGTGACACGCTAATACTTGTTGCATAGCCCCCTTCCCCTCAACTTCGCCCAAACAAAAACATTTTTTACATGATTTTTAAAGTAGTGTTTATGTGAATATAGATATGTTTTTTTTTCATCATTAATTGTGTCTTGTTGGTTTCAGGAACACGTAATATGATTTCGATTAGGATTCTCTTTGTCCCGCTAGTCTTCGTGAGTTTAGCGAGAGAAGCTGTGAGCAGTCCCAACATTGCCAGCAATGCAACAGACTTACAGAAACGCGACACTCGTCTCAATACCAGAAAAAACGTAATATCTTGCATAAAATTACCTCATCTATACTAATAGTTTCGCTATTCTGTCAGTGTGTCACTCTGTCACTCTATCTGTTGGGAACGCCATAGAGAAAACACACGCAAGATAAAAACTTTCACAGTCAAATGAAAAACGAAACGTGACGTCACATGCAACATGATGTAGCAAATATTCTAAAGCCGGAAAAGAAAACACAATAATATGACGTCATTGATTCTAGAGTAAACATACAATTACAAATCCAATGTCCCAAAAAAAAAACTTACGTCATCGATACTTGATATTAACGACACTGGTATTCTCGCTTAATTCATTTGTCTAATTTTAAAACAGGTTTGCGTGCAGATTGTTTTCAGGCATCTCTACGTGTGATTTGATGCAAGACAACTTTTAAACCACATCTAAAAATAAATCATAAAAACTTTAGTTCTTAATGAGTTTTATGGTGGTTTATAAGTTAAATTAGACCAATGAAATGAGAAGTCAATTAAATCGTACTTAAAATTAAATTGAAATGTATCCCTTCTTTAGTTCATGAGATTATTAAATTATATTTAAATACATAAATTCGCATTTTAATAATGTTAATATGTGGATCGTAGCCACTGAATGCTTAGTACATTAATTTAGCTGAACTTAAATGTATTTTTATTTAAAACTTTTCAATTAAGACAAATGTATCCTTATAGTTTTATTACTATTTTCCACAAGTTAATGGATGCAGTCGGAACAGTAATTATTTCATATTTCAAACAAATGGTTTTAATAATAATAATCTATTTACAGTATCCTATCCCATACACACATGAAATCATGTTTGAGACAACGTTGTTCCCTGTTTTTACAATTGAAGGGAAGGTGAACGATCAAGCTCTTAGGTGAATTTGGATATGATAACTTTGATATATAAAGTTGGACATGACTAGCTTTGATATATAAATTCGGATATTATTAGCTTTGATACATAATATATATTTGATTATGATAAGCTTTTATACATAAACTTAAGAATTGGTTAGCTTTGACACTTAACTGTTGAATTGATTAGTTTTTATACTTAAATTTAATTTAGACAGGCTTAGCTTCGATACTTAAATGTGGATAGGATTAGACTGTTACTTTTGGACAGGATTAGCTTACTGTACATAATAACTTACACTCCTATTTTTAAAAATATTTTTTTGTATAAAGACATTCCTTTATGAACTTTAAGTTAGATGTTACATTTTAAAACATGCATTTTAACTTAGTATATTATATAAGATGCAAAAGAAAAATCGCATATGACTTTAATGAATTTAAATAATTATAAGTTCTGGAGATAATAGGCTGCCTCACAATCTCGGGAAAAAATATTTTCTAATATTATTCTTACTGAGATTAAACGAGTAATTTGGAAAGATACGTAAGAAATAAATAAATAGAATCTGCTAAATAGTTTGACACAAAAACAACTAAAATTATACCTAAAACCAATGCAAAGTATACCAAATTTAAATGTACTGTTCATCTATCTCACTCGGATAGTTTGCATCATCAAAATTTCTCTATATTTTACAGATGCAGGTGTAGTAAACAACATCATTCTTAATTTGCTGAATTCACTACAGGTTTACCATTGATATGTGTGTAGATCATCCCTGTCTTGATATCAGAGCCTTCCAGTTCAGTGTACAATTAAATAGACGCCAAGTGGTCAGGTCCCACAAGATAGGGAGAGGTCAGCCTTGGTCGAATCAGGAAACGTACGGCATCATGCCTTTCACTCGAGGGAAATCCTTCAGAATGAAGATTACTACTGACAGTGAAAAGTACAGAGTGCGTAAATTAAAATCGTGTGTGCGCGCGTTTGCGTGCGTGCGTGTGTGTATGTGATATCTTAAGTAACGTTTAAGTTAAATAGACTATATTACTCTCTTAATTCTCTTAAATTTTTAGTGATTTCCGGTTAACGGAAGAATAACTTCGCTATTTCCGATTTCTGAAAAAAATATCACTTTAAATTTTCTCACACAGGTCTAGACTCGATTAGAATTCACTGTGACATGCAATTTGGCTGAATTAGATGTTTGATTAACTTTTTAAAAATTAATCAATGTTTACTTTATTAATTGCGATTCTATTATATTTTAAAAAATTAATATAACCAACAGATTTTGATAATAACTTTTCACTTTGGTGTCAAATCACACAAAAAAAGGAATTTTTTTCTACACAATTCTATATTTCTATAGTCCGATTATATTGGAAGTGCCATCCCCTTTTCTGTTATTTATTAGAATATACGAGATAGTCTACGGAAGATCACTCTCGCTTTATTTACATTAGTTATTTTTTAAAATGCACATGTTTGACGGTCACTCCTCCCCAATTTTTGTGACAATATCAATGAACGACAGCGCAGCTATTCTCAATTTTTTAAAAACTCTATTCAAAAGATAAGGAAGTAAAGACACCAAACACATTTTTTAAAGAAAGAGAGAACTTAACCGTCGCCTTTTTTCTTATACCACTCAGTGGCGGAACTAGAAAAAAAGGGCCACCCCGCAAAAACAAAATGTAGGCCCTCCCCCATATATATATATATATATATATATATATATATATATATATATATATATATATATATATATATATATATATATATACAATCACAAAATACGAACATAGGATACTCTTTGCTGGCCTGTTCGGGATTTGAAAAACATCAATTAAAACTAATTACAACACCTTGTCATGTGTGTAAGTTCATTAGTGAGTTTAGTATAAATCAATTTTAATTAATTTTTATAGAAGCCCTATTTAACATCCAGTCGTTCAAAATAATATAAAGCATGAAAGCTTTGTATAAGTAATGGTGTCTCGTGTAATGTTTATTTTTATGTTTTTTTTTTATTTATATTATTAATTTTTTAAATATTATTGATTTAATACATTTCCTTTTTATAAAATGTCATTCTTTAGTAATTACTTTATAAAAAAAATAATTAAGAGAAGAAATTGCTTTTTAATTTGTTTAGTACAAATCTATTCAAAGGAGCTTATGACCACCCCTATTGGACTATTTTTTTAAAAAAGGGAAATAAGTCATAGAAGTGGTTTGAACATTTGCTTATCTTTGAAAAGTTTAATTGTAGGAGAAAGACTCGGCTTTCACAGTGGTTTAAAAACAAAGGGAAAAAGAAGATACAAGAGCGTGGGGTGGTGTCTATAGAATAATGATAATCCAACCGCAGCTAAGGTATTTTTTTACAAAACAACCATCAAGTCAAAAATGAAAGAAAATTTACTTTTTTTTAACTAAAAAAATTTATAATGGTCGGCTCTGGTCCCCTAAATGGCGTGCCCCCCCCCCCCGCATTGTGGGGTCTGGCGGCACTGTAGTTCCGCCCCTGATACCACTACAGCGCTAACAATATGATTCTAAAAGGATACTTTATTTGTAAACTAGCGTGCCCGTCCGCGTGAGTTGCCGCGGGATTATAAGAAAGACATGCGTAATATATTAAGAGGGTTTCATCAATGCGTTACTAATGCGTGACCTTGTTTTCTAACACGGAGTTATTTTAATGTAAACAATGTCTGGGCTTGAACCATATTTATCGGGGCACGAGTTTACTTAAACTACCGCCCAGCACGCCATGGTGTGCTGGCGTACTGTATGAAAGCCTTGAGTGCACGATAATCACTCACTGTAATAGTGAGGCAGAACACACTTCTGTGACCACCTAGGTGTCTGGGACGGAACGTAGAGGGATGCTCCGAGGAGCCCCCGTTTACACTAACCAAGTTTAGTGGCGATCGGATGAAAGGTGTAGTAATGCATAAAAGACAAACAAAACAAATATATATATATATATATATAAAGAGAGAGAGAAAGAGAGAGAGAGAGAAAGAGAGAGAGAGAGAAAATAATTTAAGCCAAAAGGCTAACTAATTCAGTAATGTACTCTAATGCAATGATCTTATTTTGGTCACAATATTCCACATTTTCAGGTTTATGTCAATGATCAATTCTTCTGTGATTACAAACATGCAGTTCCACTTCACACCATTAAATTCATTAAAATTGCAGAGAGTGTCAAACTCAATAGATTTTCAGAGCAGGTATGTTTACTCTAAAAATGGGTTGTCAGTCCTTAGTGTTCTCATCAGCTATTTTATCCAGCGTAAGTATAAAGGTGGTCTTCTGTAAATGGCGTCACTATTTAAGGGGGGGGGGGGGTGTGAGGGGGGGGTCTTACTATGTGGCGACGTGGAAAGAAGAGATTTTTGTTCAACGTGACGTCATACGGTTGCACTCTAGAAAATCTATATATATAATTCTCTTCTTCGAGCCGTTAGAAAACAAGCTGCAAACGCTCTCCCTACCTCCCCACCCCTACATGGTTTTAGTGAGCTGTGTTCACTCTAAATGTTTACAAGCAGAGCCAACGATTTTAAACGTAGGGGGGGGGGAGGAGGGGGGGGATGGAAGGAAGGGGGGGGGGTTATTGTCCTTAACGAGCTACTTATAGTGTTTTAAAGAAATATTTTCAGTGTCAGCGTTGGTACTGTCGAATTCACAAATTATGAATTATTGAAAATTAGAAACAACTAAATAGCGGCGTATGTTATGCCGCGGGCCGGCTCGTAACTTATTAAAGTGTATTTTTGCTAATTAACTTTGTAACTTTTTTTTGTGAACAATTGTAGCAATAGATCAAGTATTGACTGAGTTAACCATACCGATATATTTCCAATACAGTTAGTGCTGAAAAATACAGCTAATAACAATTTACAGAATCATTATATGAGAATAGCTAGTGTAATAGATTGAAATAATTGTGAGGTCAAGGGAACTCACTCTTCTGTATTAGTTATATTTATAATATTGTTATCTTGAGTGATGTCCCTTGTGTACTTCCTTCCGTCCTCTCTGTGTGTTACCATCGTGAGGTAGTTAGACCCATTAAATGTGTTATATACAACCACAGGCTTCTGTCGTCAATCTATTATAATTGGCGACGAAGGATAAACATCTACTAGAAAGAGCACCTAATTACGCAAAAAAGAGGTTTGCTAGAGCTTATTAGCTAATTATTTCTAGAATTATGGCGCTGTATGGCCAAATAAAAGAATTTGATGCGAATGATGAAATCATTCAAGATTACCTAGAGAGGTTAAGCTTTTACCTAGAAGCAAACAACGTGACGATAGAAGCCAAAAAGAGAGCTGTTTTGTTAACAGTCATAGGGCCTCAACAATTTAGGCTACTAAAAGACTTATGCGCACCAGCTAGTCTAACTACCAAGAGCTTTAACGAGCTGAGCAAATTGCTAACAGACCACCATGCGCCTGTACCATCAAAGTTTCTATGTAGAGCTAGATTTGACAGTAGGACTCGTCAACCAAACGAGTCAATATCAGAATATGTTGCTGCTTTACGTCATTTAAGTGAATTTTGTGAATTCGGAGACACGCTGTCTGACAGATTATGTGAAAAGTTTGTGACAGGTGTAAACAGCCCTGATATTCAAAGAAAGTTGCTGCTCGAGTCAGATCTAAAATTGGAAAAAGCAATACAACTTGCAATGTCATTCCAGCAGTCATCAGATGCGGCGAGATCTTTAGCACCTTCAGAGATCCATGCAGTAAACAGCAGGTTAGTCAATAAACATCAACCCCATCAGAGCATTCCAACTTATGCTAAACAGCCTGCTCGTTCAAATCCTAGATCTAAATCTAGTAATAATTATCAAATATGTCATCGATGCAAAGGTCCCCATGCATCTCATCGGTGCAAGTTCAAGTTAGCAACTTGTTATAAGTGCAGTAAGCAAGGTCACATTGCCAAGGCCTGCTTTGCAAAGTCTTCGTCTGTTGCTAAATCTAGCCAGTCAAGACAGTACCGCAACCAAAAGCAGCACTATGTTAACTCTCACCAAGACTACCTAACCCAACCAATGAACCACTCTACCTGTGAAAATGCTCAAATTGATTTGCAGCCGGATTTCAACCTGTTCTCTGTGAAATCAATAAGTCATGCTCCCATCAATGTACAAGTTAATATCAACGGTAAGAGCATCAGCTTCCAACTTGACACTGGAGCATCTCTAACAGTCATAACAAAGAAAGATTTTGACGCTGTCACAGGAGGATCAGTGTCTCTACAGCCATGTCACAAGTGTCTAACAACATACACTGGTGACAATGTTCCGGTAATAGGAGAGTGTATGGTTCATGTAAGTTATAATGGTCAAAGTGTTAAACTTCCTCTTCTTGTGGTTGAAGGAAATGGACCGCCATTACTAGGTAGGAACTGGTTAAGTGATCTTAAGTTAAATTGGGAGAGTATTTGTTCATTGAAGAATGTAAAAGAATCTAGTCTTACTTCACTAGATAAAGTTATATCTGAAAATAAATGTGTTTTTGGTAATCCAGGATTACTAAATGATAGAACAGTGAAGATAAGCATTAAAGATACAAATCCAAGATACTGCAAAGCTAGAGTTCCACCTTATGCAATGAGGAATAAAATTGAAAATGAGCTAAGTAGATTGGAATCTAATGGCATCATAAAGAAGGTAGACTATTCCGATTGGGCGACACCCATTGTGCCAGTGTTAAAGAAGGATGGTTCTATAAGAATTTGTGGAGATTATAAAACTACACTGAATAAGCAAATAGGGCTAAATAGGTACCCTATACCTAACATTGAGGAAATTTCTTTGAATTTGGCAGGAGGAGACAAATTCACTGAATTAGACTTTAGTCATGCTTACACTCAACTAGAACTGCATCCAGAGTCAAAAGTCTATACGACAATAAACACACACAAAGGACTCTACCAATATGAAAGACTATGTTTTGGCATATCATCTAGCCCTGGAATTTTCCAAGCTGTCATGGACAGTATTTTTAAGGATATTCCAAATGTTTGTGTGTACTTTGACAATGTGTACATAACTGGTAAGAATGACACTGAACATCTTAAAACACTTGATAAAGTATTAAAAAGTGTTGGTGAAAAAGGTTTAAAGATAAACAAAGATAAATGTCAATTCATGCTGACAGAAATTAGTTTTCTTGGTTATATATTAAGCAAGCAAGGTATCAGACCTCAACCTGAGAAAACAAAAGCCATTAAAGAAGCACCCAAACCTGAAAATACCCAACAACTAAGAGCTTTTTTGGGCTTGATAAATTACTATGCAAAGTTCATAGGAAATCTGTCTGGTAAACTATCACCACTGTACAAGCTGCTACAGAAAAATGCAACTTGGCACTGGGGTAAACAACAAGATGCTGCTTTTAATACAGCAAAAGAGGCTTTGTCTGCTGACACCTTACTAACTCACTATGACCCAGGGAAAAGACTTATATTAACATGTGATGCTTCAGCAGATGGTGTAGGAGCAGTCTTGTCCCACATGGATGAGAAGGGTGACAGACCCATTGCTTTTGCCAGTAGATCTTTGAACCAGGCTGAGAAAAATTATTCTCAGTTAGATAGGGAAGGCTTAGGCATCATTTTTGGTGTTAAGAAATTTCATAAGTTTCTGTTTGGTAGGAAGTTCACCATCTTTACAGATCATAAACCATTGCTAGGTTTATTTGGAGAAAACAAAACCCTACCTGAGCATGCCTCACCAAGAATTCAAAGATGGGCTATCACACTAACTGCATACAATTATGAATTGAAATACAAACCTGGATCTGAGAATAGTGCAGATAGTCTTAGTAGATTACCTTTAAAAAACCAAAGCCTGAGCTATGTACCAGAAGATGTATTTGTTCTCTTCTCTATCATGGATAACTCCAATATAAATGTGAATGATATTAAGAGAGAAACACAAAAAGATGAGTGCTTAATAAAAGTATATGAGTACTGTAAGAATGGTTGGCCTGAAGAGTCTGTGAATGATGACTTAAAGCCATATAAAATAAGAAAAACAGAGTTAAGTCTAGAAGATGGATGTATACTATGGGGGTCAAGAGTAATTATCCCCAAAATGTTACAAAAAGAAGTTTTAAGAACTTTACATGATACTCATCTTGGTTCTTCCAAAATGAAGAGTCTAGCAAGATCATGGTTCTGGTGGCCACATATGGATGCTGATATTGAAAAATATGTAAAATTTTGTTCAAGCTGTGCACAACATTCAAATCAACCAGCTACAGCACCTTTGCAAAACTGGGACTGGCCAATCGAACCATGGAAACGTATACATATAGATTTCGCAGGACCTTTCATGAACAAAATGTTCTTAATTGTTATTGATTCACATTCTAAATGGTTAGAAGTTAAAATCATGAACACAATCACTGCAAATGATACCATTATAGAACTGAAGGAAATATTTTCAACTCATGGATTACCAGATCAAATTGTTTCAGATAATGGGCCTAGTTTCACAGCTCATGAGTTTAAACTGTTTTGTGTGGCAAATGGTATTGAGCATATAACCACATCCCCCTATCATCCTGCTGGGAATGGTTTAGCTGAAAGAGCGGTAGGCATATTCAAAACCGCTATGGTAAAAATGAATACCGGTAACAAGTTTTCTCTTAGAGAAAGAGTAAACAGGTTCTTAACCAAATACCGCACAACTCCTCATATAACAACAGGTGTTGCACCATGTGAATTGCTATGTGGTAGGAAAATTAAAACTCATCTTGACCTACTGCATCCAACTGTTCAAAGGTCTGTTTCCCAACATCAACATACACAAAAAGTAAATCATGACAAATCATCCATTGAAAGAGAATTTGCAGTTAATGATAATGTGTATCTAAGAAATTATGGGAGAAAGGAAAAATGGATACCAGGTCAAATTGTTCAATGTACAGGACCTGTGTCTTATAAAGTAAAAACAAATGATGGACTTATTGTCCGTAGACATGCAGACCAGTTGAAAATAACTTGTGCAGATAATAAGTGTGAATCTGTCAATCCCACCAAGTCTGATCAGTTCACACCAACTCAGTTTGTTCCACAACCAAGTTCTGTTGATATGAGTGAATCAAGTTGTCTAGAGTCAGAAAATGTAAATTCTGGAGTTAATGATTTAAATCCTAGACCTCCTGAGATAGAGAATCCAGATGGTCAGAATCTTGAGTCACCAAATCAGAAGCCACTGAGAAGGTCAAGCAGGACAATCAAAGTCCCAAATAAGTTAGACCTATGATTCTAAAGGTCAAAAGGACTTTGACATTATTGTTTTGTATTTTGATTATGTTGTGGCATATTGTGCATTGTTTGTAAGGATGTAATCTACCATAATGTTCATGTTACAATATAATTGGTGATTTTAGGATACTATCAATTGTTCTATTGAGAGATGTGTTATTGTGTTCTAAGGGTAAAGGGATGTAATAGATTGAAATAATTGTGAGGTCAAGGGAACTCACTCTTCTGTATTAGTTATATTTATAATATTGTTATCTTGAGTGATGTCCCTTGTGTACTTCCTTCCGTCCTCTCTGTGTGTTACCATCGTGAGGTAGTTAGACCCATTAAATGTGTTATATACAACCACAGGCTTCTGTCGTCAATCTATTATAGCTAGGTTTTAAATCAATTATATGAAGGGTTTTAAAGTGTTATACCCACGACGACAACCGCAGGAAATTGTATGTAAACAAAGACAACTGTGTTAAATTGATATAAAATCATTTATACTTTAAAATTGATATATTTAAAAAGCAGGGATAAAAAAACGGAAAGCATTGTGTAATTGTATTTTAAAAAACCACTGCAACTTACTATTTCTTACTTATTATTTTTCTAGATTATCACTCCTATTGTAAGTACAACTTAACTGTATATCTTCTGTAAAAGTGTTTGTGAATATGATTCTGTTTGTGTGTTGTGTATGAGAGTATGAGTGTATGTGCATGAACGTACGTGAGTGCGTATATATACAAGCGAAATCGATTGCGTGCGTGTATATGAGTGTGTTTCTGTATCCATACGAGAGTGACTGTATTATGAAAATATGAGTGCGTATGTGCGTACTTTTTTTCGATGCTAGCCCGTGTGTAAAATCGAATAGCGTTTTATATCACAAATAGCTGAACAGCTTTTGCAATTACTTGTTTGATTCTCACCTGTTATGTGTCATAGGCCTTTGACCATCGAGGACCTGGACAGAACGCTACATCTCTCTTTTTGACAAAAAGCCTGAAGACGGGAGATATTATCCAACACTATGTCACAGTTAACCCTGAAATTTGGAGATATGGATTTATATAGTAAAGTTTGATTCTTCTATCTGTGTAATGTAAACAAGCATGAATGTTAATTTTTGTTCTTGTTGATTAGTATATTTTACCCTGCTCTAGTAAGATGGGGGTCAATATTACCCCAGACATCTTTAGACCAATTTGTTTTGAAAACTAGCACGATTTGTGACCTCGCCTGCCATGTACTTTTTGTACGGCCTACCTAAGTCATTACACATGTTTAATAATTTCTAAATAATACCTGTTTTTTTTTTTCGCGTGGGGTCTTGTGGTCATATTGACCCCATAGTACCTTCAATATAATGAAGGTAGGTTTTTCCCTTATTTACATATTCTATGACGGTCGCGGCATAACAACATGTGCACATGAAAGTGACTTTCTGGTGATGCTGTTCTGCAGTTGTTAGATGATGTGAGTGACGTCGATATTGCAAATGATCTGAGCTGAGATCACCAGTGGAGTAAGCGCTAACAAATCAGAGTTGGAAGATGGTTTCATTCGTGGTTTTCTTGGAAAGACGGTCACGTGTTGTCACAGAAGCTACAAATTCTGCGAAGAACCCCGGTGCGAACTATTCTCATACAGAAGTCAGGGCCAAAAGGGAATGTGTGCCAAGCAGACACACCTTTGAAAGTATTTATTTTATTTTTATTTTGACGATGTTATGTTATTGTGACTGAAAATGATCGCAACGTTAGAGAACTTAAAAAAAAACAAGTTAATTAAAAAGCCTAGTGACAATTTTAGCGCAATTTCCTTATGTTATCTAAAAATAGCTCTGACGTATAATGCTGGGGTGCGATCAAGCTAGGAGAACGATCGGTTTGTAGGTGTTTATGTAATTTTAAAATTTGTGACCGAACGAAAGGATATTTTTGAAAACTTTCTTCGGCAATATTGTTCTAAATTATGGCAGGAATCGATTGGTAAATGTTTCAAGTCGCTAAGTGGTCTGGTTGCCGAGATATGGGCCAAAAACTGCATTTTTTTCTTGGCTTTTCCGTGAAATCCAGGAAGGAATTCCGGGAATCTTTTTGACCCACCATCATCCTCGGAATTTGCTTAACAAATTTGCTTTTGGAACTAGTCCTCGATATTGCTTCGTTGAGGAGGAGATACGACTTAAAGCTGCGAACACACATCCATCCATCCATTCCCAGAAAAGACGAGTTAATAAACGCAATTCCCCAGAATGGAAATTGCGCTAAAAACAAATGATAAATGTTCTTGAAGAAATTATCCCGCACTTTGATTACTCCACATCAACTTTTGTAAATGAATCATACGCCAAAAGATGTAAAACAGATGATCCGTATCTTGGCCATTGTGAAGGCACCGACACCAACATCATACAACACCAAACCTCATTCAGGAAATTACAGAAGATATTATATTGGTCGTAGATAATGTGACAAGAAAACCAAACTCATCTGTAATGAGGGCAATCCGTTTGAGTACAACCAATACCAGCAATGTCATTTTGCCAACAGCATGTTAAAAAAAACTAAATATCGCCCAAATAAACGTGGTGCAATATTTTTTTCAGATCTGCTAACACATAGTCACATCATATTATGCTAAGGAAAACAAAATACTATAATAAAGTGTTTTACTCTTGTCATATAGCCTATTTTTCACCATGGGCTCAAACTGCCCCAATGTTACCAAACGCGTGACTTTTTCTAACATACCAGAGCAGGGTTTATGAAAAAATCTTAGTCGCTCATTCAAATGTGGTCTCTAGCTATCTGACCTAGATTGATACGGTGTCGAATTTCTTTTAGAAGTTAACTGACGTCTTGCTTTTATTGCCTTTAGTTTCCAGCTTAACTTGTATGAAAAAACGGACAACCCGGTGGAGTCAAAGAGGCATGTCGGCTTCCTCTACAGAAAGAATGGACAAGGCACCTTGACCTGTTCAAACACTGCCAGACAGTGCTACGAACGCATTATAGCTACCCCAGCAAACATCTTCCAGCCGTTCACGTTCTCGTATGAAATATTTCCAACATTTGTTAAGGTGAAAAAAATTTCGATTTGCACCCCCCCCCCCCTCAAACTTTCGATTTGCAGCCCCCCTTCCCCTCAAACTTTCTATTTGCACCCCCTCATACTTTATATATATACCGAGGGGTCTATGGGGGGTTATGACCCCCCTAACCGCCACCCCCTGCCTACGCCACTGCGTCGATTGCTCGGGGTGTCACCCGATGCGGCACCTCTTGGTTTCACCCCCATTGTTTTCACATTAAATGTTACAGTTGTTTTCACCCCTAACCCCCCCCCCCCCCCAGTGTAAAAATCTTTAAATTGCTTACATTTTAAATACTAACGATGTTAATCTATAGTCGGTTGTTAATGCAGCTGGATGTAACATTATTTTTCTCTATAGTTTGCATGTTAACCTCATAGTGTCACACCCCTTTCCCCTTTCTCGGGATCATAAATTTGTACTTAAAATACTTTTTAACTCTAATTAATATTTCTTTGAACTGGCAAAAAAAAACATTTATATAATAATATATTCTATATATCTTGCATTTTTTTTTTGTCTTGGTGTCAAACCCCTCCCCAAATGGTGTCACCTGGTGCGGTCCGCACCACCCGCCCCCGCCTCGCTATAACTCACGCAGTATTATCAGTTTGATAATGAGAAACTTGGCAAAAAAAAGATTAAACATACAAACATACACGTTTTCCATGGTTATGAGTGTGTACCCACCCCCACCCCCTTTTGGACTACTTGTCTTTGCGGTCGTCCATAAACGACGTTACATTTTTTTGCCATTTTTACCCCCCCCCCCCCTATGTCACACACCTTCACAAAAAGTCAGACCCCCATAAAATGACGCCACACCCCCCCCCCCCCCCCATAATTTACAACTTATCCTGTGTTTTAAATTTTCTATTTTCATCCTTTTAAAATTGTCGCTCGTGGAAACAGCGTTAATAATGAGCGTGCATGACCCATAGGTTGAACCAGCAGGTAATACTTAATGTAAATGTGTGTATATCTTGCAGACATGACGACTCACGTGAGAATAGCAATATATTTAGTACGAGCCGACCCGCGGCGTATCATATGCCGCTATTTAGTTGTTTTATTTTCTTCTTTTCAGTCATTCATAATTTGTGAATTCGACAGTAGCAAAGCTGCCACTGAATATATTTGCTTTAAAACACTATCAGTAGCTCGTTAAGGACGATAACCCCTCCCCCACCTTCTGTTCCCCCCTCCCCCCCTTCCGTGAAAGCAGCCTCCTCTTGGTTACCTCCCCTAAGTTTAAAATCGTTTCAAACTAAATTATCTGCCCCTAATAGCCGTCACTCAACCCGGCTCTACGATTGTAAACATTTAGCATGAACCACAGCTCACCAGACCATGTAGGGGTGGGGGTGGTAAGGAGCGCGCTTACAGCTTGGTGTTTTCTAGGGTCTCCAAGAAGAGAATTATATAAATAGATAATATGCAAATTATTTAACTTGTAAACACTATACCGGACCTTTAATTTTCCTGGTATATTTCATTGTAGCCTATATGATGGACTTAACGGATGTCATCTCTCACAAAGCAATATAAATGTCATAGATTTTTAATAGTAAAGACTCTCCACTAGAGTATTAAATTGCACGTTTTACTGTTAGCAAAGAGGATGTTGAAAAATGACAAGACATACTCTCACACATACTTAAATCTTAGCAAATTGTATAGAAGTTTTATTAATAAAAGATTTTTTTTAAATATAACAAAGGTTACTTTATTACAAAATTATGCAAATTTCGAATCAACAAAGGATTAAATAATAATATCAGTAACAGGTTATACTTAACCGACCATATGTATATACATTCATATTTCTAAATTTTAGCAAGATCATTAAACGGAGTATTTTTAAAAATTACTTACAACAGTATTAAAATGGCAATCCTCAAGAAAAAGTTGTGATATTTAAGCATGTTCGTTCTCCCATGAAGAATTAAAATGTTTCTTTATTGAATACATTGGGACGGAATTTTTTTTTTTCCTAATGGAATCGGAATTCCCTTTACATCGAGGTCTTCCTCTTGTATCCAATCTACACTCTCACCATTTATTTTGATTGGCGATTATCACAATCAGTTCCCGTTGACGACGTGCAGCAACTCTCAGAGGCCTGATGCGCTGTAATGGCACAATTGATGATTCCTGTTTGTGAGTTAAAGAATGATTGCGCAGCATAACCAATGAAGTTTGAATGACACTTCTTACAAACCCTGTCGCTGATCACGGATTGAACAGACGGACAATACAAATCATAAGGGATTGTGCGATAAGGATTTGAAGAGCGGGGGAGGATTTCATCAACTATTATATTTCGAGCAGCAAAAAGAGATGGAAATTTATGTGAAGAACCATCTGTTGAACGCTCAGGTATTATTAGTCCACAACTTGTTTTGGCGACTGGTAAAGGTGGAGGAAGAAATCTATGAGTTATTAAGCTGAAATAGAAAGTTCTAGGCTTTGATCAACATTTACCATCCATGCATTTAACGATCTGAGTCAAATACTGGCTAGCTCTCACATGAATATCGTGCCAACTCTGATCCTTTGAGAGCAGAGAAGTTTCAAGGAGTTCAGACTCTTCTGGATCTATGTATGTTGCCACTGTAGAAAATGTATCCACTGTCAAGTTCTGTCAAACTGTTTCTGGCAAATTGAAAATTCTAATCTAAATCTGTGTCTATTGTGACTCCTCTTTTATCCAAATGACTGCCGCATTGGTCATGGGGTAAAATTCATATTGCGAGCTCATTGCTAAGTTTCGCCATTTTCCTTTCAACCCTAATAAATGCACTCTATTCAAATGCATTTGTAGTTGTGATTGAGAAAGTGGTGTACCGCAACTTTAATGACCTTTTCGTACCTAGGGTTTTCGTCTGGGCCACCATCAACTGTTAGTTATTTTTCTTCTAGATCGTTGAACTAACATGAGACACTGGCATGAATACCACGATGTAAGGGAGACAAGGCATGCCATCAAGGGCATGAGTCGCAGCCCTATGTGTAAACATAAGTTCTGTAAATTGTTTTTGAATAAAATATTCGGGGAAAAGGGTAAACTTCAAATAATAGCAAGTGTTACACGGATACCCCTGCCTTACCCTCACTAGCTGATATGCTTCCGACCTCTAGTCAAATAGCACTATTGACAAATTTGCATATATGGCAGTCTACTATAAAACATACATCGTCAAATTATAGGGCAATTTAATTAGGACAACAATATATTTCTCAATCTTTTGACAACTTACACAAAAGGATACATTTTGTTAGAAGTATCTCAACCAATTTAAAATAGTAAGTTTACTTTCCTAAAAACTAAAAAAAATGCATGTCACACACTCCGAGTCTGGGCGATAATCCCCCTCAATGAGAACTTTTGTGAAGATTGTTTTGGTTGTCTAAGATTAAGTGGCACGTCGTATGAAATATTCCTTTCTTTTTTATATACAGGTCTACTTCAATGAAGAATACTCTAACCAGCAAGCTGTGTTTGATGCCAACCTGAATATGCTCTTTATGTTTGGATGTTTTTTGAACCACACCCTGGAGTACATTCCTTCACCTTGAGATGAGACGTCTCCAAGCCGAAACACATTGTAGAAATTCAATCTTTACAGAAGAAATAGGTTTTAGGGGGGGGAGGGGGGGAGGTTAAAGCGGAAGACTTGTCCTTAATAAAAAATTAAAATTTAATTTTTTGCCTTTTTAATCCATCCCATATCCAAAGATTTACTGGTTAAATTTTCTAGTTTAGGGTTTACTCAACATCTCCTGGGGTTTTGTTTTGTTTTTCAGTTTAGTTATAGAGGAAGAGTGGCAAAACAACAAAATCAATATTTTCTTAAATCTCGACGTTTTACACCTCCTGAGTCAAACTTAGTTATGAATCGTTGTTTCAGTTATATTTACGAAATTGTTACGGAGAAGGTACTTACTCTACTTCCAGTTTCTCAAAAGCCAATAACTTAAAAGTAACGTTCCAATTTCTCAACAAAAAAATTCCCTTATTAAGTACTTTATGTCCCGGCCATGCTCTGTAATATATATATATATATATATATATATATATATATATATATATATATATATATATATATATATATATATATATATATATATATGTGTGTGTGTGTGTGTGTGTGTGTGTGTGTCTGTGTGTGTGTCTGTGTGTCTGTGTGTGTCTGTGTGTCTGTGTGTGTGAGTGTGTGTGTGTGTGTGAGTGTGTGTGTGTGTGTGTGTGTGTGTGTGTGTGTGTGTGTGTGTTTGTGTGTGTGTGTGTGTGTGTGTGTGTGTGTGTGTGTGTGTGTGTGTGTGTGTGTGTGTGTGTGTGTGTGTGTGTGTGTGTACTAGCTTGCCCGTCACCGCGCGTTGCCGCAGGGTTAGAAAAAGTCGAGCGAAATATATAAGGACAGTTTCATCAATGCGTTACAAATCCTATATTCTTAGATCACATTAATCGCGGCATGTGTTTACGTACACTGCCACCCAGCACTCACCAAGTGAAAGCCTTGAGTGTACGTTATTTACTCACCGTAATAGAGAGGAATAACACATTTCGGTGACAAGGTGTCAGGGGCGTAAAGGGGCGCTGTCGGGAGCCTACGCTACTCTATCGCAAGGGCGCCGCGTACGGCTCCTGGTTTGATTTCATCATCGAATGGCGTGTGCCATCGTGTCAATATCGAAAGGTGCTCACATGATAACCCACGACGCCAAATTGTGACATGAAGGGGCGCCGGCGGACGCGCCTGATTCAGATAAGTGAATGACTCTAATGCCCCGTTTTATCCATAGTTTATCGTAACTGTTTAACCCTTTGAGCCCGCCAGGCCGGTAAACCGGCTTCAACATTAGGCATATATGTCCGAAAAGCCGGTTTTCCGGCCCGGTGATCTAGCGTCATATTCCTAGCGGCCGGTGTACCGTCTAATTAAATATAGTCAGCGGAAGACTGACTAAAACTGCGCATATGTCTTTTGAGTGCGGGATTATGTTTCTAAAAATTGATTTTTAGGAAAAGTGAAAATGAAAGTGTTTATATTTCGTAGTAATGCCGCCGAAACGAAAAGCTGAGCCACCGCCGTCGACTTCATCACATAAAGTTGGTTCAAAAGATGAAGCGAAAGACCGAAATGTCAACAAAAGAAGTAGAATGACTGCATGTCAGGCAATACAACTACTTATTGATTCTGATGAAGAAGATAATATTCCTGGTCTATATTGTGATGATAGTGACGTTGAATTTGAGACTGAACACAGTGACATTGAAATCGACAGTGACAATGAAACTGTTCAAGTACGTTCTGATGCACGTAGTGCCAAGGACAAAACTTGCCGAAACTAAAAAAAACTGTTTACTGGTGCAAAACATGCAAAGTTTTTCTTTGCATCGGGTCCAGCAGTGATAACGGTTTTGAAAGTTATCACACAAAAGTGGACTTCTGGCGATGAACTAGTATGGCCAGGTATCAATAATAACAAAACAGTTACTAATTGTAAATTGGTTTCTTCTATGTTCTATCAAAACAATAATTATGTGTTCGTTTTATATACATTGTTCTGTTCAAACGTTGTAAAAAAATAAAGAATTTCAGAATCTTGCTACATTGTTGTTTGATCCTGAGTGTGGATACCAAATTTGGCTTGATTATCTCAAACGGTTCAAAAGTTATAGGCAAAGTTAGAAACAGATAAGTGAAAATTGGTTTGGCCCTGGGAGCTCAGGAAATAGGAGAAACTAGGCCTGGGAGGCCAGGGCTCAAAGGGTTAAAACGAACGTAGGCGCCTTAGCGCTCACATGGAAGCCTGGGGCGCCAAATCACACATTGCCGGGGCGCTGCCGGTGAAATTTGAATTTTTTTTCCGCAGAAACCTTCCCTGGAGTATTCTCATCAACTATCTCAAAGTTTCATTGCGATCAAATGAAAGTTGTAGTGATGCATAAAACACACACACACACACAAACACACACACACACATACTTTCATTTTTATATATTAGATATTGAACTATAGATGCGAGAAAGTTTAGGGGAGATCTATTTTTACCAGCTGTTATTTTATTCGCTTCCTCTGTCGTCAGTCTGTCGTTAGTCTGTCGTCAGTCTGTCGTCAGTCTGTCGTCAGTCGGTCGTCAGTCTGTCGTCATTCTGTCTGTCTAGATCGAAACGCCCGAGCAGAAAATTGCAAGCTCTTGTAACTGGCAGATACGGTTCGTTGTAGGTACGTGGGTCAAGACATGAAGACAATGCAACATGACATTAAATTTGACTTAATTGGTAGAATAATTAATTTTTTATGAATTAATTAAAATTGTGTCCAAATTAGTGTGCTGTCTCATAAAACTATTCAGCGTCATCACGTTAAATAGGTGCGCAATGGTTTTTAGTCATGCAGCTCTAGTGTTTATAAAACATGTAAAGTACTAAAAAAAATTTCATAAAAAACGTTTTAATATTAACCGTTTCTGTAATAATGCACTTAAAAGGAGAAAATAAATTATACACTACTATTTAAATTATTATAAAAAAGCGTGAGTCTCTTCCTAAATATTAGTAAAGGTATCCAATAGATAATAAAATTACCCACGCTTTTCTTTAGTTCAAATTATTTTTTATTGGCACTTAAAACACCGAGAAATATCTTTTAAATTCGCTTGGCTAGCAACATAGAAAAGAAGTACTATGGTAGCTGAGAATCCAACTGCCAGCTGAAGAAGAAATCTTCTAGACAAAATAGAATGGCCACACTATCAGAAAGTCGCATCCAGCATAACAAGACAGTCCGTCATTTGAATCTCACAAGGCAAAAGATAAAGAAGCCAACCCAGGAAGACATGGAAACATGACCTGAAAATGTAACATCAAGAAAATTAGATACACACATAAAGACATTTAAAGAGACCAGCCCAGAATATACGTATCTGGAAACCCACTGTTGGCGGCCTATGTCTCAGTAAAGGTGACAGGCTAGCTTAACCTAACTAAAAACATGTAGTTAAAGCTACAAAATCAGGTTGTGTGCTGTTGAAAATGGCCTAGCTTAAAAACTACTCGAAGCTCAAGTCTTAAAATGTTTGTAATTCCAGGTTTTTTGTTGCATTCGTCCCCTCTCCAATTTTAAGTCAAAGCAGCTGTATCCCTTCGCTCATTCACTTAAAACAAACTATTATGACTTCTCTTTTGGATTTGTCTTGATTTAGTATTTTCTCGAAGACAGTTTTTCTTTTTCGTTATTATTTAGTTTGTGTGAAAGGGAGTGGATGACGTGGTAAATCATGTAAGTCGGGGTGTGTCGTGACTTCCGCCGTACCACTTTAACCGACTCGGACCAAGTGAACAGCAAACAATGCGTGTATAATAGTGCGGAACGTTAGTACTTTATAATTTCATATGCGTTTTTCGATTAATCGGAAATAGCGTAAAGTACTACCTCCGGTCACCGGAAATTATTCACAATCGGAGAGAAAACAGAATAAGATATTTTACTTATAACTGAAACTTCGTCTATCTATCAGAAACCGTAGTCAAGTTAAAGGTTTTTGAAAATCCACAAGTTCTACTTCCGGTTACAGGAAATCGCTGAAAAGTTGATACAGAACTACAAATTTGATATAATACTACTTATAATATGCAATATCTTTACTGTGCAGTCACTATCCCACGATCTTTTACGTTACATTTTTCCCTTTGTTTTTAAATAATTGTGAAAGCCTAGTTCTCTTTCTCCTACAATCTAACACACGCTTTCGCCAGCAAAAAAAGAATCGAAACCGTAAACGACTTTTGGTGCTTCTTTATAGCGTTGGTTAGGGGCTCAGAGCCCATTTTTCACTGTAAAATGTACATATGTTGTTTTGGTACAACTACTATTCTGTACTATCCTGTGTCCTACAAATAAATTTAAAAATATAGTAACAATAAATTCAGTTTTATGTACGTTTACTTCATTTTGCTTTTACAGGAAATGTGATAGTAAACGTTTATAATTTGAATTATCTCCCTTGAGTTAGTTTTTTAATAGGCTGTTGGAAAAGAAGTTGAGACCATCCCAAATTTGGTACTATGGGATGGACGTACATCGGTGCTTTGTTGTACCTTTCAAGTTCCTTTCTCAGTCTCTCTCTCTCTCTCTTTCTTTCTCTCTCTCTTTATATATATATATATATATATATATATATATATATATATATATATATATATATATATATATATATATATATATATATATATATATATATATATATATATATACCCTTTATTCTCACAAGTAGCTAATAGATAAATGAATCATTTGTGAACTTGCTTACTGTACATTCTCCATTTCTGCACATTTTGTTAGATGCTAGTCAGCAGATATTAATTCAAAAGCATAGTATTTGTTTGATTAACCTAATTCATAAAACAAAGCACGATAAGACTTTTTTTTGGTGAGTCCTCAAAAAGCATGACGTGATTTATGGACGTCCCTAAAATCAGAAGGTTTTCCTCCGCGTGAGCTGGGCACATACAGCTGTACATATGAACACCGTGTGTCTGTCTTTAATGTATGCGATCGCCATGAAAATTTTGGGAATTTTTCAGTACACTCCAGCAAAGGTATTTGTCATAGGCCTAACATTTGCTTATATATTGGAGTGACGGCTCCCCAGGGATATGTATAGTTGAGCGCCCCGAGATCCCCAGTTGATAACTTAGCCCCTGGGGTCGGCTTACTTGGTGTCCTGCACAGGGGGTTAGCTGTACCACTTTAATCATCATGCAAGCTGCAGTAGGGGCCTCCACCGGCGGTCGTGTAATCAGGAGCGCCCCAGACTACCAGTGAAGCACTATGGCCTTTATATTCGTTTAAAAGAATCTAACCAGTGCTTGCACCCGTCAACCGTGTAGTAATCTAACCGATTGCTCCTTAGAGCCCCGCAACATTTCTGATACCTTCGCCATCGCTGTGTGGTGTCTCGATGGTGGGCGATCAACGTAAACTGGGCGTCTCGGTGATAATGTTGACAAACTAACACCCAAACAACTAAGATCCATGAAATAAAGTGCCGACATTGTTTATACCAACACTATTCTAAATAATCAAGATCACATGTCTAAAAATACACAATGGGTAACGTGTTGATAAAAAAAAACCTCATAAAAACATGTTTGTAGCACTACATTTCGAGAGTCCGTGCTTCTCACTTGGATACATTTACGTGACCAGCTCACAGAATAAAAAAATACAACATGCATCCACAAGAACTCGAATTTAAAAGCAATTAGAGCGGCACTTTAAAAATGTTTCCCATATTAAAATGAAAAACAAGTTTAAATAAAAATGACTTAAGGTAAATTGAATGTTATCATGACAAGTGTACTTGATTTCTTTTCTGCCATAGTCGCAGCAGCAATAACGCTCGACGAACACATTAGTTTATATATATATATATATGTGTGTGTGTGTGTGTGTGTGTGTGTGTGTGTGTGTGTGTGTGTGTGTGTGTGTGTGTGTGTGTGTGTGTGTGTGTGTGTGTGTGTGTGTGTGTGTGTGTATGTGTGTATGTGTGTAGGGGACCCAAAAGAAATTTGCGGGGGGGGGGGGGGGGATTAAATTATTACCGCCACTGTACTCGTGAATTCTACTCCATCTGTTATATGGACTACTAGATGTTGATATCGAATAACGCTAGTGGTCATAGCTCTATGCCACTAATCTCTAGAAGTATTTATTATAAAATGTATTAATACATGAAAATAAAACACGTATATTAATGTCGAAAATCGACTCAAAAATCATTCAAATAATTTTTTTTAATTTTTTTAAAGATCTTTACATTTTTTTTATTCCTTGTGACTTGTTTCTTCCACTCCTAAAAAAGCTTAATTAGCTTAATTTCCCCTCAAAAAAAATAATTTTCCATCTCTCAAATGTTAACAAAAAAGTGTTAGACATATAAATTTAATTCTTATCCCTGCTTGACTCTGAACCACTACCCATCTCCTTCTTTATGGTGTCCTTTTACAGGTAATGCGCAATCAAAAGAACCTCCAAAATCAGCATCGCCTTCAATGAGTTACCTACAACAGAAAAAAAAATGGTTTGCTGTACATTTGAATGTTTATAGTTTACATTTATTACAGAGTAAATTTTAATGAAACATTTTTTAAAAACGTAGTAGATTTTTTTTGGGCGTGATGTGTAACGGCGCGTGAAAAATTACTGCAGTCTGGTTGGAGGGAGTGTTTTAGATCTGTGTAGATAGGTCGGTGGCCGTCAGTCGTAATGGCTAGACGACCTGTCTAGGATATCTGGATTCACAATGGCTAGACGACCAGTCTAGGATATCTGGATTCACAATGGCTAGACGACCAGTCTAGGATATCTGGATTCACAATGGCTAGACGACCAGTCTAGGATATCTGGATTCACAATGGCTAGACGACCTGTCTAGGATATCTGGATTCACAATGGCTAGACGACCAGTCTAGGATATCTGGATTCACAATGGCTAGACGACTTGTCTAGGATATCTGGATTCACAATGGCTAGATGACCTGTCTAGGATATCTGGATTCACAATGGCTAGATGACCTGTCTAGGATATCTGGATTCACAATGGCTAGACGACCATGAAGGCTTAACAGCAAGTTTGGGAGCTTTCTTTTCACCAAAGTCGTATGGCCAATCCATTAGTAGATGCTAGTCTAGGACCTTTAGTATTCTTTTAAATGACTAGCACATTTTTTAAGAGAGTAAAAAGCTTTGAATTCATTTGTATTGAATAGTGTTGATGTTTAAATCTCCTTACCTGAATTTTCAGGTTTGCCTGTAGTGGCAAGGATAGTCTGAGTCGATGAAACGCATGTACTTGTGTCAGTGGTCTTGTTTCGCACGTCTATAAAAATACATGTATTATTACTAAAACAGTACCAACTAACAACTTTGTAATATTATATTTAAATGGTGCAATTCCTGGCGTTCGCGTGTTTTTGTCTCGAGAGGAGCAGGGAGTCTGGAAAAAAGGCATTAAGAAGAACAGAGTGCAAAACACAAATCAACGCAACTGGTTTTGAAACGCTTGTAATATAAATTAGCGTAACAATGTAACATTGAAAAGATTTAGAGGACTGAAGATCAGTAGGGAGGGGATTGACATATTTTAGTGCAATGCTATACATAAAAGTAATGAAGTTTTAAAATGTTAAATAGAACAGATGTCAGCAAAAAATTGTTACAAAAATTTTTTGTTTCTTTCAAAATTACATAAACGTTTGTGATATATATGTATTGTTCAACCCATGTACAAACTTGATCAAAACTAAATCGGTACAAAAAAGTAAAAGTTAAAGTTCCCCTTCCAAACTGGCCGGTCTATGAGGCAGGTAAAGTAGAGTTCACCTGTTTCTGTGACTAAATAATTATTTCTAACAAGATATAACCCAACATAACTTCTTATTACTAAGCCTTCCAAATTATTATTTTGTTAACAATAACATCTGATTTTGCTTTTTTAACCCTTAACTGTTAACCCTTTACTGTCCTTAGAGGCTATATGCAGCCGAAATTGTTCTTAAATGGTACGGTTTTATGCGGCCAAAAAACGCACGGTCTGTGTACGCCTTTTCTTCCTCTTATTATGTTTGATCCGGCTTTCTTCTTCTTCTTCTCCTTTTTCTTCGTTCTTAATTTTTAGTGTTGGGAGGGAGCGAGCCATATCTGCCAGAGGGTTTGAACTCGAGACTTTTTTCGAATTTATCCACCATGAGCTTTTGCCACTAGACCACGCCTCCATCACAATTAAGGATACGTGTCAACTGGTTATGCGCCATTGAGGCCATTGACTCCGATTTCAGCCTGCTTTTCTTTTTGGATTTGCTTCCATAGCCTTTGTCCAACCAAGTACAAACTACAAGGCAGCAGTTGTTTGATTTTGGAGTTGTCTCTCCTAGAAGAGTGGCTGTCCCCAGCTAACGAGCCTCATCTGCCCGGGATGCGGCTTTCAAAATTCAAATGTTTGTTGCATTGTAATTAAAGGTAATGCAAAATAATCTGCATCCATTTTCCTCTGACAAAAACAATATGTTTTAATTTGTACATACTCGTCGATGTTCCAAATTAACTATTCTAAGCAACATTTTTTAAACAGAGTTCTGTCCCTTTGTCTGGCAGTAAGGCAAGAAGAAGAAATATCAGACCCCGGACAGTAAGAGGGTAACGTTTTTGTTTTACTTTATTTTTCACACATCTCTTTTTAATTCTGATAATTTCAAAACAAATTTCCCGAGAATATCCAGCTTTTTCAAAGACTCTAGATTCTGATTGTAAAAAAAGAAATAATAAACAAATAAAACTTGTTTTTCAGTATCTTGATTAATGTTTTGAAAAATTTTGTATGTTTTTCGCCTTATTTTTCTACTGTTTTAACAAAACTCAACTGATATATTTATATATATGTTTTTCGATTATTTCATTAAACCCAATACTTTAAAGCAAAGGTGAAGATTTCGGGTTGAGGTAAAAATCAGATTAGCAAAGCTTAAGTGGATTGACACTGTGATCAAAATGCACCTCGTTCTTCCAGGCTCAAAACTATGAGCCTGGATATAACACTGGATATAAAACTAGATATCTATCAAACATAAAATTGATCATTTAATTAATTTAGTTAATAGTTTCAAGAACGTTGTTCATGTAAAGCGACGTATAGCTGGATTTAATCTCCGAAAAGGCGTCACTGACTTAAACATTGGTCATAGAAGGAGAAGCAGCGCACTCTGCGTTCTTCGCCTCTTGCTCAATTGATAACAAGCTGTACTCAAATAATATAGAGTAGTAGAGAATAAAGAAATAAGAATACGCTAAAAACACATTCCTGATGTAAATCTGGGATACCTACCTACAGTTACTGGATCAGTGCTTTTGCCATAAACCAGGTTGGGCTCTAGGGAAGTATAAATATACAGATATAGCCCTAAGCGTGTGTGAGTGTGAGTGTGAGTGTGAGTGTGAGTGTGAGTGTGAGTGTGAGTGTGAGTGTGAGTGTCAGTGTCAGTGTCAGTGTCAGTGTCAGTGTCAGTGTGAGTGTCAGTGTCAGTGTCAGTGTCAGTGTCAGTGTAAGTGTAAGTGTAAGTGTACGTGTAAGTGTACGTGTACGTGTACGTGTACGTGTACGTGTACGTGTACGTGTACGTGTACGTGTACGTGTAAGCGTAAGCGTAAGCGTAAGCGTAAGCGTAAGCGTAAGCGTAAGCGTAAGCGTAAGCGTAAGCGTAAGCGTAAGCGTAAGCGTAAGCGTAAGCGTAAGCGTAAGCGTAAGCGTAAGCGTAAGCGTAAGCGTAAGCGTAAGCGTAAGTGTAAGTGTAAGTGTAAATGTAAGTGTAAGTGTAAGTGTGAGTGTGAGTGTGAGTGTGAGTGTGAGTGTGAGTGTGAGTGTAAGTGTAAGTGTAAGTGTAAGTGTAAGTGTAAGTGTAAGTGGGATACCTACCTACAGTTACTGGATCAGTGCTGTTGCCATGAACCAGGTCGGGCTCTAGGGAAGTATAAATATACAGATATAGCCCTAAGCGTGTGTGAGTGTGAGTGTGAGTGTGAGTGTGAGTGTGAGTGTGAGTGTGAGTGTGAGTGTGAGTGTGAGTGTGAGTGTGAGTGTGAGTGTGAGTGTGAGTGTGAGTGTGAGTGTGAGTGTGAGTGTGAGTGTGAGTGTGAGTGTAAGAGTAAGAGTAAGAGTAAGAGTAAGAGTAAGTGTCAGTGTCAGTGTCAGTGTCAGTGTCAGTGTCAGTGTCAGTGTCAGTGTCAGTGTCAGTGTAAGTGTCGGCGTCGGCGTCGGTGTCAGTATCGGTGTCAGTGTCGGTGTCAGTGTCGGAGTCAGTGTGAGTGTGAGTGTGAGTGTGAGTATAAGTGTGAGTGAGACTGAAAGTGTAAGTGTACATTCGAACTTATCATACTATGCAATCTTCAAGAACGTATTACTTTTGATAAAGTTTATTCTTACCAATGGCATCTGTTACAGTTAACTGGGAATCTTTGAGAGTATATAATAAAAATAGAAATAATATGTGTGTTAAATTAATACATCAAAGAATTAAATCAGAGAAAAACTCACAAACAGTTCCTTATTACTGTTTCATACTTAACAACGGGGGTTATATTCTAGACATTTCCAGTTATTTCACCCTGGGCATTACAGTTTAAGCATTAAAATTTAAGCATTATATCCTGGGAATAGACTAAATGTTTGGCGCATAGCACACGTACGATAACACGGGGATAACACCATGGACATAACACCTGTACTCTATAATCTGAGCATTACACTCTGGACATAACACTCTGGGCATAACAACTGAACTCTACAATCAGGGTATTACACTCTGTGCATAACAACTGAACTCTACAATCAGGGCATTACACTCTGGGCATAACAACTGAAATATACAATCAGGGCATTACACTCTGGGCATAACAACTGAAATATACAATCAGGGCATTACACTCTGGGCATAACTGAGGCGTAGCTACTCTTCCCGGCGCCCGCGGACAAACTTGCAATTTGGCAACCCCCTCGGGAACAACAATTTGCACCCCACCCCCCTCAAACTCTCAATTTTTTTATTTGTAACCCCTTCCCTCAAACTTTCAGTTTGCATATCTTCCCCCCCCCCCCCACATACATTTTTTTTATATTTATAATGCAAAACTTCAGCTATAATGATATTTTAATTTGTTTTTCCAACCCATTTATGCGCCCCCTAAGGTCGCTACGCCTCTGGGGCATTACACTCTGAGCATAATAACTGAACTCTACAATCAGGGCATTACACTCTGGGCATAATAACTGAACTCTACAATCAGGGCATTACACTCTGGGCATAACAACTGAACTCTACAATCAGGGCATTACACTCTGGGCATAATAACTGAACTCTACAATCAGGGCATTACACTCTGGGCATAACTGACCTCTACAATCAGGGCATTACACTCTGGACATAACAACTGAACTCTACAATCTCTACAACCTGGGCATTACACTCTGGGCATAGCACCTGAACTCTACAACCTGGGCATTACACATTCTGCATGGCATCTTTGGGCATCGCTTTTTATATTCGCAGTAATAATTAACAAAATGGGACGGCGTGGTCGAAATATAGAGCATTCGACTGCTACCCGCAGTGTTTTTGAGTAAGCGTCCGGATTCAAGCACGTTTAATGTCCTTGAGTCCACCCAGCTCTGAAGAGTAACTGACTCACGTTATGGAATGTAAGGCGACTGGGCATAGTGCTGACCACACTATCCATTCATATGCCGCGGAACTTAACATTTTACTTGTAATAAAGCTGTATCCGGTTCTGAGTTTAAAAAATTCGATTATAGATCTACTTACATGACAATGTCAAAAAAATCCCAAGACCTTTAGAGTAGGAAAAATGTAAAGAATGTCAACTTACTTTACCTTAGACGATACTGTATAATTTAAATTATCCATATTGTAACACTTTAATCAAAGAAAATAAATAAGTAAAACAAAATTAGATATATGAACTAAAATATTGTAATATTAATCTGATAGCTACCAGCCAATAGCGTCTTCTTCATGTTTGCTACAGTGGAAAGCTTTTGACAAACTAATTTTTCTAGCGACTGAATGTCACCACTAGACAGGGGTATCTAGTGGAGGGGCTACAATTTACCTGTATTCGTGCGCCCTCTTCTTTGTTCTTCAAAATTTACAGCTTTCGCCTAGGCACACAAAAGAGAAAGGTGACGCAAAAAAAAGAGCGCCAACTCTCCTTTTTTCCCCAATGCTTTAACAGCCGTGGCTGACTGGTTCATTTTTTTTTAAAATCAGGGGTCCCCACACAACAGGTTTTGGAATCAGGGGTCCCCACACAACAGGTTTTGGGATCAGGGGTCCCCACACAACAGGTTTTGGGATCAGGGGTCCCCACACAACAGGTTTTGAAAGCAGGGGTCCCCACACAACAGGTTTTGGAATCAGGGGTCCCCATACAACAGGTTTTGGAATCAGGGGTCCCCACACAACAGGTTTTGGAATCAGGGGTCCCCATACAACAGGTTTTGGAATCAGGGGTCCCCACACAACAGGTTTTGGGATCAGGGGTCCCCACACAACAAGTTTTGGAATCAGCGGTCCCCACACAACAGGTTTTGGAATCAGGGGTCCCCACACAACAGGTTTTGGAATCAGGGGTCCCCATACAACAAGTTTTGGAATCAGGGGTCCCCATACAACAAGTTTTGGAATCAGGGGTCCACACACAACAGGTTTTGGAATCAGTGGTCCCCACACAACAGGTTTTGCTTCGTACGCATTGGTGACAAAGATAAAAAGTATAAATGTTACAATAATAATTTGTTTTTGGTTTGTTTGTTTTTTTGTTTAGTCCAACTGTCTTTGGTGTTGTTTAAACTGCACTACGATGGGCCTCTTTAGCTCAAATAGCTGTCATGTTGCGTTGAAGCCTCTTATGTCTGAATTTCTAAACATTGGTCAGTATTAAAATCATCTTTAATTTCCAATGTAACTAAATGACGACAGTGGACCGAAAGTTTTTAATTTGATTTCAGGAAATTTAGATCCGTCAGTGCTCTCACATGGCCGAGAAATAAAGACTTGAGTTTCTTTCAGGCATCTTTCCGTGCACTGACAACATCCCCTTTTTTCTAGTTTCGCCACTGTTACAGAAAAGTTTACTGATCGCATAAATAAAACGCATACCTAGTGCCTAATGAACGCACACACTTTTCAGTAGTGTAACGTGGTGCTTAAGGTCCCAAATGTGTCAATTTGTTATACTCAGTGGCGTAGCGAGGTTGGGTGTCACCCCCGCCCCCCCCCCCCCCCCCCCCGCTACGTCACTGGTTATACTAGATCCCTTTTGAACACGCTGCAATACATATATTCTTGCTACTGATTGAACTAGTAGAAATAAAATGAGTTTTACTTTCTCGTACACGCAGTGTTTCTTCCAGACTTTTTTTTTCCGGTGGGGGGGGGGGGGCACTTTATATTTTCGGGGGCTGACTACATTTTTCGGGTGGGCGGACACTGGTATAAGTATATATTTTCTATATAAATTCTATTTCGTTCGGGTAGGTGAAAGATATTATGCACTGGATTGTTACAATTTGAGTGATTTCCGGTGATCGGAAGTAGTACTTTAGGCCAGTTTAGATTTCTAAATTAATTAACTAACTTCTAAGCCAATTAATTTTTCTTGATTCCTCTGTTTATCATTCATGTGCAGCAACTCGCGAGCGCTCGAAAAATTTTACCGGCCCGATTTCTTTCAATTTTTTTACGTAGGTCAGGACTCGATGACAATTCACTGCGGTATAAAATTTTAATGTGACTTCATTCGATATTTAATTCATTATTTTAAAATTAATAATCGTTTATTTTATAAGTGTTTTTTTTTATAAAGCACTAATTTTCCACTGTAGTATACGCACATTGATTGCGTTCATTTGGTACGAAATTCTTTTCTCTACGCGATTCTATTCTATTAAAAAAAAAATTTAATTATATAGCAGAAAGTTAAATGGAGATCGCTCCCGTTTGATTATTTGCTCTTTTATAGAAAAATGTGCTCTGGTCAATGTAGTTACTTCCTGACGCACACTGTAGCAGTTTGGCACAAGGCATGGGGCAAAATGTCACATAGTTACCACAGCGCTATCAAGGCACCAAACTGAAATCAATAAGTAGGGATGCCCCTTGGTTTATAACAAAAAAGCAAATGTCAACTTTTCCTTGCTAAAATAACAAATGTCAACTATTCCTTGCAACTTTTCCTTGCAAAAGCAGCAAATGGCAATTTTTCCTTGCATCTTTTCCTTGCCAAATCAACAAATAACAACTTTTCCTTGCAAAAGCAACAAACGTTAACTTTTCCTTGCCAAAGCAGCAAATGTCAACTATTCCTTGCCAAAGTAGCAAATGTCAACTTTTCCTTGCCAAAGTAGCAAATGCTTGCTGAAGCAGCAAATGTCAACTTTTCCTTGCATCTTTTCCTTGCCAAATCAACAAATGACAACTTTTCCTTGCAAAAGCAACAAATGTTAACTATTCCTTGCCAAAGCAGCAAATGTCAACTATTCCTTGCCAAAGCAGCAAATGTCAACTATTCCTTGCCAAAGTAGCAAATGCTTGCTGAAGCTGCAAATGTCAACTTTTCCTTTCTAAATTCCAGGGAGTAGTGTTGCCAACAGTAGCGTCACAGGGTGGGGTGTGAGAACTACCCGGGAGACACCAAAACTGAAACGAATATCTAATTTTATGGACAAAATAAAACCGTGTGCGCTTAGATTAGTTACTAGTTATGGTTCAATACATCTTGGCAGCGTCCTTTAATTTACAGCAGGGGTCTCCAAACTTTTCAGTCCGAGGGCCGCATTAAATATTAAATTTCAGTTCGGGGTCCAGTATCTTCCAGAAATGTCTTTGATTTTTCTAGGCAAAAATCCTCAGCCATCACTAACAAACATTTTTTCCGTGGACAAAAAATTCTCCGCGGGCCGGATGAGGGGACATCGCGGGCCGCATCCGGCCCGCGGGTCGTAGTTTGGAGACCTCTGATTTACAGCATTGGGTAACACCCGACCTGGTGACGCCACTGAGTACAAATAAAATTACTCAAATCTGAAGAAAAAAAAACAATATCGAGCCAACAAATTATGGCTATCTGTGAGTAGAAAGATTAAAAAGTAAAAAAGTTCCTCTTCCAAACCTGACGGTCTATGGGGCAAGTGAAGTAGAGTTCGCCTGTTACTGTGACCTCGGCATAAGGAAGGGCGAGTAGAAAGACTACTAATTCAATAAAAGTCTTTCATATATTTTTTTCTAAATAATAAAATTAAAAAAAAAAACAATTGATATTGCAAAAAGATTGATTGCGGCTAGAAGTCACCCTGCGAGTCAACTTGACCCAAAACATTTTTTTACATATTTTCCTGCATTAAAAAAAAGAGGGTTGCTGGCGTGTAGCCAATAGGTTGGACTATAAACAGGATTAAAGTAGAATAAATATATCAATAAAATATGTTTACTAAAAAAAATTATACATAAAAATGAATTTTGAAAGTATGAATTTCAACTTGTACCTGCTTGAACTTCGGTGACGTATGAGCATGTACATTTTACCATTCCCAACATCTTAATAATAATTTCAACCTTTAATTCAACGACAAAGATACGGCCGCAAGCAGGGGCGTAGCGAGGGGGGGCGGGGGGGTGCGGACCGCACCGGGTGACACCATTAGAGGGGTGACACCAAGGCAAAAAATAGCAAAATATATTGAGAAAAATGATAATTCCACTTAATTAAGTGATTAATTCGAGTGTTAAATAGTCTTTTAAGAGGTGCAAATCAAAGTTTCAGAGGGGGGGGGGTTGCAAATCGAAAGCTTGAAAGTTTGTCCCCGGGAAGGGTCGCTACGCCTCTGGGGGTGACACCATTAAGTGTCGCACCGGGTGACACCCGACCTCGCTACGCCGCTGGCCGCAAGGCTCTTGTGTCAAATCGACCCTGTGATTTTTCGCCCTACCTTACCCTGTACCTATTCTTATATGTATACGTATGCCCATACACAAACAAAACATATACACACATCACCACGTCTGGCTAGGCTTGCAGGATAGAAGATCGTTAAATAAACTGTAAATAAGATCAATCAAACAGGCAGTTACACCGAGTTTAATTTGCAATAAACTATTTTTTTTCACTATTGAATCCGGGTAGAGTGAAAGGATTGAACGGGGAGAAAGTTATTTAAAATGTCGTTGTATTCTATTTTTAAATACAATCGCGGTTGAAGAATGAGATAGATAGGCCTATGCTGGGGGGGAGAGGGGGGGCGGTTATGAGAGCGCAAGATTAAAAGCAAACAGAGAGAGTGAAAGAGAGAGAGAGAGAGAGAGAGAGAGAGAGAAAGAGAGAGAGAAAGAAAGAAAGAAGAAGTATGAAGATTCAATGGGATGGTTAGATTAAACTGGGTAGCTCGCTGATGCACGTCGACACTATGAGTAAATCAGGTGTTCGCTGGTCAGCTTGGGCGAACCGTGGGGACGGTGCTTATTTCAGGGGTTTTTTTTTTTCTCTCGGGATCCACTTGAAACTTTTGGGGCGGACTACATTTTAGAGGCCTACATTTTAGGCACAGTCCAACATTTTAGGCAGAGACAAACATTTTAGACACAGTCCAACATTTTAGGCAGAGACAAACATTTTAGGCACAGTCCAACATTTTAGGCAGAGACAAACATTTTAGGCACAGTCCAACATTTTAGGCAAAGACAAACATTTTAGACAGAGACAAACATTTTAGGCTTAGCCCAAATTTTAGGAACATAACAAAATTTGAATTAAAAAATAACATTATTGACAAACATTTCACTAGAGACCTACATACATTTTAGGCACACACAAAAAAAAAACATTCTAGGCCCAGGTCAGTCGTTGACAATGTTCGCGGCTTCCTCGCGTGATTAATGAGATAGTAGAACAGTTGAAGAATTCATTACAAAAGAGCGGGTGGACCATTAACTGGAGCGGCAACAGACGGGAGAGGGAAATATGGCTTCAGCTACCTTAGGACAGCAGTAGAGAGTGTGACCCTCCTCATTTACCCAACTCTGGTAACCGTCTCTTACAGAAACTCTA